AAAGGAATCTTTTTCTGAGCAGGAGGGTCTAAACAGTGGGCTTAAAATGCTGAGTGAACCATTGAATAAACAGATGTGTTGTTATCCAGGCTTTTTTATTCCATTTATAGAGCACAGGCAGAGTAGATTCAGTATTCTTAAGGGCCCTGGGATTTTCAGAATGGTGAATTAGCATTGGCTTCAACTTAAAGGCATAAGCTGCATTAGCTCCTAACAGAAGAATCAGCCTGTCCTTTGAAGCTAAGCATTGACTTTTCTCTAGCTATGAAAGACCTAGATGGCATCTTCTCCCAATATGAGGCTGTTTCGCCTACATGGAAAAGCTGTTGTTTAGTGCAGCCACCTTCATCAATGATCTTCATCAATGATAACTTGCTGCAGATTCTCCATCAGCCCTTGCTCCTTCACCTTGTACTTTTATGTTATGGAGATAGTTTCTTTCCTTCAACCTCATGAACCAACCTCTAATAATTTCAAGCTTTTCTTTTGCAGCTTCCTCACCTCTCTCCTCCCTGAAAGAATTGAAGAGTTGGGCCTTGCTCTGGATTAAACTTTGGCTTAAGGGAATGTTGTGGCTGGCTTGATCTTTTACCCAGATCACTCAAACTTTCTCCACATAAGCCATAAGTCTGTTTTATTTTCGTATCATTCATATGTTCACTGGAATAGCACTTGTAATTTCCTTCAAGAATGTTTCCATTGTATTCGCAACTTGACTGTCTGGCACAGGATGCCTCAGCTTTTGACATGCCTTCCTCACTAAGCTTAATCATTTGTACCTTTTGATTTAAAGTAAGAGACATGTGATTCTCCTTTCACTTCAACACTTAGAGACCATTGTAGGGTTATTAATTGGCCTAATGTCAATATTATTATGTCTTAGCAAATAGGGAGGCCTGTGAAGAGGGAGACAAATGGAACAACCGGTTGGTGGAGCAGTCATAACACACATAACAATTATTGATTAAGTTTACCATTTTATATGAGTGCAGTTTGTGGTACCTGCAAACAATTATAATAGTAACAAAGATCACTGATCCCAGATCACCATAACAGATATAATAATAATAAATTCTAAAATACTATGAGAATAACCAAAATGTGACACAGAGACACAAAGTGAGTACATGCTATCAGAAAAATGGCACCAATAAACTTGCTTTAAGCAGGATTGCCACAAACCTATTTGCACACAAAATTGCAAATGAAGTGCAATAAAATGAGGTGTGACTGTAAATTATAGACACCATGGCATTTTACACCTAAAACTTTCAGCATTTATCTCTTAAGAATAAGCACATTCTCCTACATAATAATAGTATTACCATACCTAAGAAAATTAATAATTCCAAAATATCATCTAATAGCCAGTTTCCTAAAGTTTGCATGTATCCCTTAAAGTTCATCTGTTGGAAACTTAATACCCAAAGCAACAAAGTTGGGAGGTGGGGCTTAATAAGAGGTGATTAGGTCATAAGGGCTCTCATGAACAGATTGCCATTATCTCAGGAGTGGGTTAGTTAGTAGAGTGTGTTTGTTATAAAAGCAAGTTTGGTCCCTTCTTGTTCTCTGTACTCTCTTGCCCTTCCACCATCGGATGACGCATTAAGAAGGCCCTGGCCAGATGCCAGCACCTTGAGCTTGGACTTCCCAGCCTCCAAAAGTGTGAAAAATAAATTTTTTAAAATAAATTATCCACTTTGTGGTATTCTATTATAGCAACATAAAATGGACTAAGATGCATTTCATATTCAAATTTCCCCAATTGTTCCCAAAATGTCTTTAGAGCTTGTTTTAAGAAAGAAAAAAAAAGATTTAATTAAGGTACATAAATTATAGTTATTGTTCTGTCTCTTTAGTCTTTTTCTAAAAAAGTCATCCCACTTTTTTTCATGGTATGATTTTTTTTAAGGAATCAGGCAATAACACCCTACATTATGAATCTGTCTGATTATTTCTGCTGTCTGTCTGTGATGTTTTAAGCTTGTTTTCTTGCCTTCGGTATTCCCTATAAGACGGAAGTCAGATGTAAAGTTTTGATTCCATTAAGGTTAGACATTTTTGGCAAGAATCCTTCCAAGATGATGCTGTAGCCTGTATACTGTCTCACAACAAGAGGCATGTGTCAGGGTTCCTCACTATTCATGATGCTGAGTTGATTGCTTGGTCAAAGAGGCTTCACAATACTCTGAAATTGCCACCAAGTCTATATTTATACTGTACGATGCTCTAGGTGCAAAAGGCTTAATAGTTGTACAAAAGCCTGCCAGGAATGCCAAGCTATTCTGTTTATCTGATCTCTTTTGACACCTCTTCCTTGTCCATTTCGGCAATGTTCTCTTTCCTCTGTTTAATTATTCTCCACTTTTGCTCTGTGATCTTGATTTTCTAACCACTCATCCATTTTCCTCCACCATCGAACTAGTTCTGGAAATTCTACTCTATAAAGGTTTCCTGAATTTAAATACATTGATCACAGTTCATCTTAGGTTTTCAATCTGAAGTTTACTGCCTAATTATAAGAAGGTACCACAGAAGCAAGAACTGTTTCTGCCAAATTTATTTTAATACCTCTCATAGCAGCATATGAACATATAAGGTGCTTATTGATAACTATTGCATTAAAAGTCCCAGTGGCTGAAATCTACAACTAACAAGAGTGCTCCCACTGAGTAAAACAATAATGGGCATTTATGTAGGTTTTTCAGCCATTTGTTTATCATCTATCTATATATCCTGCCTAAAGCTATGTTTTCAAACCAACCACATCAAGAAAGCACTAATACTTTCCAACACCTTTATAGGATACATCTATATATTATTGACTATTTACCAGTAATGTATTTTTTAATGCCTGGTTCACCCTAATTGCACAAATTAATTGGGGCAATCATTGGCATCCAGCAGCATTTCCCACAAACAGAAAGACAAATAAATATATGCTGAAAATGTTTTCTAAAAACAGGTCTTATTTTGAAGCTCTGTATTTGAGACTACACATGCAAAATGAATTAAGAATTGAGATCACTGTCTGGATCTTTCAGACCAAAAGTCAGATGTATCCAGATAAGGCAAAAGCATTCCACTGAGTTTGAATTATTTGTGTAGCTCCATCAATTACCAAATTCATTTCAATTGTATAGTCCAGTTTAGGCTTACAAGTAAATAATTTGTCTTCATCTTTTCTAGTTAGCAATCACCTTGCCTAATATTATCCAAGAATAACAAGTTTGTTATGCCTCATTTTGTTATGCCTCATTTTCTCGCTTTCTCTCATCTGCATTCCAACTTGGAAAATGAGGAGAAAGGTACTGGGCATGCAATTTTTAAAGGATCTACTTTTTTCCTTTCTCCCTGACCAACCTAAGCTGGAATGACTAAACAATGCAAACAGGACCAAATTCATCCTCCCTCTCCAAGGCTAGTCCAGGGTAAAAATGTGACATGTATAAAGTTTACCTTCAAGCCCCACTACGCACATCAAAACCTGCCCTTAGCACAAAAATCCAGTTTTTATCTCTAAGCTAAATATAAATTGATGATGTTGCTTCTCCCCAAATCATTTGCTTATACTAGATTTCAACTGAGGAATGAAAAAGCTATGTTAGCCCTGGCGTTAATTAGCATTTCAGGAATCCACAGGCAGATAAAGGCTGTGTTTGGGGGATCAAGCCTGCCCCTGTCTTAGTGAGATTACATGACATAAGCAACCATCTACTCTGACTACTTTTAAGTTTGACCCTACCACTATCAGTACCTCTAAGCTAATATTTGGATAGTTCTATAATATTTGAAAAGCAGGATTCATGTTAATTATCTTGTTTAACTTTAACAAAATCCCATAAGCCCCATTATCTTGTCACCACTTTGCAGATAAGAAAGCTGGTTCCCTGCCACCGGCACTCACGGCTCCCACTAAGGTCTCAGAAGCCCACATGGATGCTCTTTTCATCTCAGTGGACAAAACCCATTTTCCCTTCTCCTAGAAGAAAGGTGATAATCCTACCATTGACTGAGTCAGTACCTGAAAATGTTTTCCAGGGTTCTAAAACAGTAAACAATTGATTTTACTACCCCCAAGTATTTTACACACACACACACACACACACAAATATTTTTTGAATATTGAAGAAACAGAGGAATACTAATAAATGCACCTCATCTAACTCTTCTCATGAGGTTTTTAAACCATAACAAGGCCACAGAACAAAGCCTCCATCATTATCACATAATCTCAAAGCAGGTAGCACCAAGTGGTTAGGGTAGAGGAATCAATACTTATAGATCGTCTTCACTATGCACATTCAATGATGAATTTTAAAGAAAACTCAGCCTTTCTCTCACTTTATGATATAAATATAGGTTTTAAGTTGCAAGTAAATCCAATGTTATTTAAAATGCACTTTAAACAATTCATGCATTGCCCTTCTAGTTACAAATTTTTATCAGAATAAAGTAAAAGATGACATGAATTATTAATGCACAATGGATTAAAAATTCAACTGTACCCACTAACCCATAAACTATTGGCAAAAGGCATAAATATTTTCAAATGTCTTTCTAGAATATATCTCCTTATCATATCACATGCCTGACAAATGCGTTATACACAGAGAGTTCTAACTGAAAAAAATATAAGCAAATAATCATGGATGTCCAGCAACATTTCTGAAAGTTTACTACTGAAAATTATTCTATACATCAGGAATTGGCAAGCTTTTTCTGTAAAGGGCCATATGGTAAATATTTTAGGTCCTGCAGTCCATGTGATTTCGTTGGAACTACTCAATCCTGCAGTCGCAGCATGAAAACGGGCATAGACAATATATAAATAAATGAATGTGGTTGTGTGCCAATAAAACTTTATTCATAAAAACAGGCCTATGGGTCATAGTTTGTCATAGATACTCATTTTTACCAAGTCTGGCTTTCTTATTACAATGATACTATATCTGTTAAATGGAATGCATTACTAAAATGGTCTGGGCAATGCTGCTTACCTGTGACCCAATGGTTTCCTGGAAGCACCGGCCAAGCTGCGTCTTGGCAGTCACAGGATAGACATGAGGAATGACCTGCTGCTGGGAGTACGTGGAATGTACAGTCTGGGTCTTCTGGACAGGAAGCCCTTGGTAAGAGATTTGAGACTGGCCTGGTTGAGCTTCTTTTACCTTCTGGCCTGTTGGGCCATCGATTCTTGAAACCTGATGTATCTGGACTGATGCCTCAGGAGGATGTTTCACGTGGATATTGACTATGTTGGGAGGAAATTTCACTAAAACAGATTGGGAAGAAAACTTTTTAGCCATGAATAATTCACAGGTAAGTCAGGATTTTTAAAATATAAAAGTATATTTTATAAACACACATGCACACGTGTTTATATGCACATACATTATATGTAGGGTAAAACAGATGCATAATTAATATCTCTTTCTGCAGCATAGCCATCAAAATTCTTCAGAATAGAATGGTACACTCAAAATAAAAATTAAACCTGAATTTATATCTTAAAAAAAAAACTGCAATGGTAAAGAGAAATTAAAACTTTTAACAGTAACACATTCGTGAGACACAAGTATTCTTTTCAGTAGAATCATAAAACTATGAAATTCATGTTGACTGTTGTGATAAGTGAGTAGATTTTATTAAATGATAATAAGAAAGACTCACGAATTTGATTAGTTTTTAATTTTTCACAAAATTTCTATTGGAAAAATTTTAGGATTTGTATTTTTCAATTAAAAGAGGAAACCCAACTGCACCAAGTACAATTCTCTTAACCTTAAACGATATATGAACACACACTTTTGTGCTTCTTGTGAAGTGCACACACCTACATAACTCACAGATACCAAAGCATGTTATTTAACATCTGAAACAACATTTACTTTCTGCAGCTTTTAAACAAATCTCATCTTCTGATACAAAAATTCAGGTTTTAAAGAATAGGAGCCAGTAACACTTCTCTGACCCCCTTTTAAAAATTGTGTGTTTAAAAAAAAAAAAAAAAAAACAGGTTTAAAAGAATGAATGAGTCATAGAATTTTTGAGCTCCAAGTGACCTAGTTTACCTTCCTCTACAGATGAACAAATTGAAGCCCAGTGAGATTAAATGACTGTTCAGAACCAAAACCAAGCATTCTTCAATTACAAAATTCACCAAAAGGTACTGTGTGACCCCTTAGTTTGTTAACGCTGGCAGGGCCCCAACACTGTGTTGCTCATCTTCCCAGGCCTTGCCAGAACAATGACAGGCACGTTTATTAGTTCTTGGTGTAAGAGTCACTAGAGAAGGATGGGCTCCTTTTTATTTTCTGATTTCCTAGATACTAATACTCTATGGCCTAGAAAGTACTGCAGCCACATACCTGGGCCCACATTCTGTCTTTACTGCCATTTCTCCGGCCACAACTCCTTTCTGCTTCAGTACCAGCCCTGACCATCTGTGGATACTTGCCTTCTGTGTAGGTTTAGCAGGTTAACACAGGCCTGGCGAATGGGCAAGATGAGAAAAGCTTACCTTTGACCCCCTGCTGGCTAGTCATGGTCAGAGGCAAGGTATGTGTAGAATGGATGACATGTGTCCCCAACACCTTGCCCGGCTGCTGGGAATGCTGATACAGTTTAGGCATGCTGGCACCGTGAACTGGGATCTGACAAAGCTTCCCTGTGAAATTTGGTGGGCACTGACATTTGTCCCTTGAACTGCACTGGCCACCATTCATACATGGAAGATGGCAAATTACTGAAAGAGAAAAGAGAAAATAGAGACAGTTGGTTAGTCTCTCAAAGACTAAGTAGCAATCCACAAAATCCCCAAAACACACAACCCACTGCAGCCATCATATTCAGGACTTTAGAAATGGTAAGGAAAAGAGTAAACACTAGACCCAAAATAGTCTCTATTCCTCACTGCCTTTTTCTTTCCATCTTTGGTCACTTAACTCTCCAGTTTGTGACTGTTCTCCCCCAGAGATGAAAAGAAGAGATCACAGAAAAAGAATATATATGCAATAGCCACAAAGAATTACTGTCTACCACAATGTGATTTTAAGTACCTCTTGCAATCTGTAATTACTTTGTTTTTCTATTTAATTACTAGCTTATTAACTGTCTTCCTAGATTATAACCTCCTTTAGAACAAGAGATATGTCCAGCTTAGCAACCTTTATATCCTTAGCACCTAGAAAAATGTCTGGCATTGATATTAAATAAGTATTATCTCAAAGAATAAATAAATGAGAGTGATAAAAAGATGACTATAGATAACAATGGTATGTTATACAGCTTCAAATAGCTAAAAGGAAGATACTGAATGGTCCCAACACAAAGAAATGATAAATGTTTGAGATGATGGATATGCTAATTATCCTGATCTGATCACTATACATTATATATATCAAAACATCACTATGTGTCCCAAAAATATGTACAATTATTAAGCAGTTGAAAAACACTTAACTTAAAAATAATAATACCTGTTGAAAATGTTTTCTATGTAAGACACTGAACTAAGTGCTATCCAGAACAAGAAAATAGAATAGTTTAAATCACACTTTATAGGAATTTGCAATCTCATTGGGGTACCAAGACGTCAGTAAATCCTAAAATTAGTTAGGAATTAACTTATTTCAAATACCAAAAGATAAGAGGACGTGTTGGGTGAAGAGTTTTAAGAGGAGGTTTTTAAGTCTGGCTAAATTCAGCTTACGGTCAACCTCTTTATCACTAATGAATTCTTCCTATCAGCGTTTAAATGTCATCAGATTTCCACTGGCTTAAGAAATATAATAAAAGCCCTTCAACTCCATGTCCTTCCAGCTTCTACCCTCTTTAAATCCATTCATCCATAACCAAACTTTCCAAAAGCACTGTCTGTTCACTTCTCAACACACTACCAATATATGTTGGGCCAGTTTATGTTTTCCCTTTCCCAGTCCCTCTTCTGTACGAGGCTGCTATTACGAAGGTCATCAATGGGCTGTAGGTTGCTAAATCCAGTGGACAGATTTCAGTGTTCCCCTGGTTTCCATGATATCTCACTCATCCTTTTTGCTCCTTCCTGCTTGCCTCTTCCTGCTTAATATGCTTTACAGACTCTGCTTTCTCCACTTGTCCTTTAAATACTGATGTGCTTTAAGATTTGAAATTTTCTTCTTCACTAACTCTACACACTCGTCTTCTATGACTTCATCCTGTCATATGCTAATGTCACCCAAATTTATATTTCCTGGCCAAAGCTTTCAGCTGAGCTTCAAACTATCTACTACTATATATTGCCATGGAGATAGTACAAACTATCTACTACTATATGTTGCCATGGAGATAGTCCACAGGCACCTCAAACTTCAAATGTCCATCTTCCCCCCAATACTTTCATCCATTCAGTAATCCTTCACCAAAAACCTGGGTGCCACTTCCCCGTTTCCAACCTACTTAAACATTCACAACTGGAGGTCCTCCTTTTGAAACTTTCACCAAAGACGGCCACTTCTTTGCCATTACAGGACGCCACTGCAGCCTCACCACTCATGGATCTCACCTCCTTCTCCACAGTACAGCTACACGGAACTTGATCCAGATCCTCAGCATGCATTGCCCTCTCACCCCTCAACAGCTTTATCCACACTAATCCTCTGCCTGGAATGCTCTTTCCATCTGCCCCCCTTCAACTACCTGATTCCTACTTATCTTTCAGACTCTGTCTCAACCTCGCTTCTTCTAGAAGCATTCTCAGTTGCCCCTCCTCTAGGCTCGAAGCTTTTCCTCTGTGCTTCCATGCAATCTCGCTCACGACCCATCACTCCACATATCGTACTGCCTGACAGTTGTCTGACTACTTCTCTGTGTCCCTCACTCAACAAGAGCTCTGTGAGGTCTAGGAATTTAACTTGTCATGGTTTACCCTGAGCCTGTAGCTCAGAGTCTGGAAGGAAGGAACATATTTATGCCTACCACTTGGTCAAATACCATTCTAGGTAGCAAAGAAGATTCAGTCTCTGCCCTTCAAAAATTTAAGAGCTAAATGGAGAAATTAAATAACACATGATAACTAAAAACACAGATCAGATATCTCACAACTAATAACATTTATCGGGTGTCGAGTGGGTTGGAGGGAGAAGGGGATGGGTATATACAAACATAGTGAGATGTGCAACGTTTGGGGGATGGCCACGCTTGAAGCTCTGACCCAAGGGGGGAAGGGGGACATGGGCAATATACGTAACCTTAACATTTGTACCCCCATAATATGCTGAAATAAAAGAAAAGGAGTATGACAGTTCACTAAATGAAAGAAAAAATACTCTATATCTTATATTATGCAATAAAAAAAAGCAAACATGTTCAAATTATTTCTGGTTAGTTTTACTCAAAAAAATAAAATACTTTAATTCTCAATATTTCTAACATTTTAAATTCCAAAGTACTAAATATTAGCTGCATTATTAGCCATATTATTTTTCCTATATAGTTATAACCTGTACTAAACATTTTTTAATGTTTTGGCAAACATTTTTAAAGGTCATAGAACTCATAATTTTTCCATTGATTATTAAGATGCAAAGTGAGGACTACCTATAATCTATACTAGAATAACTTCGTTTAAATTGTATGAGCCATCTTTTTGTACAAAGACACATTAACAAATTGACTTTTATTAGCTATTTCCAGTATCGATAGCAGACTTTGAAATCTAACATGAACTTAGAAAGGTAGATTGCTTAAATCTACCTTTAAACCCCCAAGATAAATTCCATACAATTGCTTCAAGGATTGTACTAGCATCAGTGGATATAGCAATAATCCCTTAACTCCAATTACCCTGCGTCTCTCTGGTTATTAAGGAAACGGTTTCTGCTTGACTTATTTCAACCAATAAAAGTCCATTATTTATAACCCTTTATGAACAAAAAATAAAGTATCTATTCTCCTGTTCCAGCATTTTCTAAAATCTAAATGACAACATGTACTTCTCAGCTGGAGAAGTACATGTTGAACTCTTTGTGCAGATAATCTTTTTATACCTAAATCAAAGAAAACAAATTTCAAATCAAGGTACAAACTTCAGGATTTAACTATGAATAGTTTCTTTCTGTTTCAAAAGTTCATACCACTCTCAAAATACCACCTAGTGATGCATCGTCTGTGCTAGCGGAGTTCTATGAAACCTCAGAGCATAAAGAGGAAAAGGAATAAGTTATCTTTAAGGTTGACTGAGATGCTTGTGGTATACTAGTTCTACGTCTAGCCATGGCACATATATTTTAGAAAATATAACTAGAAGATGTAACATAGGATGCTGCTGAGACATTCTGTAAGCTCGTCAGCTTGACATTTTGCTGGCCGTTGCCATAATTCACCACATTGCATCACGTGTCACCCTGGAACGACTGCAAATAACAGGAGGTACATGGGCCTTGGGCCTGTCATTCCAGAAAGTGTAATTTCGTGACAACCATTCAAAGTATCTCATGGCACCACTATAAAAGGTCAAAATGAGTAAAAGGAGCCATGCTGGGTAAGAAGTTGGAGGTTTTAAATATGTCAAACATTTCAGCTGGGTTCCACCATTCACTTTTGTCTGTAAAACAACTCGCAATATTCAAAAAATATTCAAACTGGGCTGATCGGATAATATTCACATCTTGTACCACAAATTGGAACCTGGTTTAGAGGAACAAATACTAATGACTTGTATATAAATATGGGCAGGCTGGGTTTTCTAAAGATGTGTACCATAAAAAGGTAGACTCTACCTCTTTCTTTCCTGTTATCTTAGCTGACTATAAAAATTCTTCAGCTGCTTGTTCCCAAAAGGCACTCTGAGAATGTTCTTGACCTTCCTGCAGCGGTATCCTGGCCGCTCCACCCACCCTCTGGCTCTCTGTGCCAGCAGACAGACCGTTTCAAGTTATTGTGGCTAAGGCAGAACAGGGAAAACAAACCTCCATATGAAGGAAAACCTGTATCTGTCAATTCACAGAACATGCACAGATGATTTTGATTTGAATAGCTACTTAAACTTTCCTTCTTGTCTCCAATGAGAAGACTAATGTTCCCTTAAAGGCTTTTAGCATTTTTGCTGATAACCCTTAGAGAAGAGGGAGAGGGAAGAGTAAAATTTTTAGAAAATGAAAGTTAACGCTTGCTTTCTCTCCCTTTTCAGCCAGACAGTGGGTTAATACTGTGGCTGTTGAAAGCTCCCAGCTAACAAATATGTTATATAGTAATTAAATGCTACAGCAAACCACTGCTCACTTTAAGAACCTATGTTGCTCTAAACAAGAAACTATATGCATGCCTCTTAATTTAGCATGTGTCACTGGAGCAAAACAAAAGGAGCTGGAATCCAAGAAGATAGTTTCTTTTCTTCTAGAGAAAGACCTAGCCCTACACATGACCAAGGAAAGAAGCATGTAGACTGGTTTTCTCCTTATGGAATACAGAGATTTATAATCGTGGTGCTCTAAAATTGCCTACTATCAATTCTTGATTGTCTGCTTACTTACACCAACTCAGAGACTTGGTCAAAAACACATATGAGATAGGATGGCCTGGAACAACCTGTCCAAGGAGGTGAACACATTTAAGCTAAACCTAAAAAGAGAAGAATCCAGTGATGAGAAAAGTTGGCAAAAGAGCATTTACAGAAGAACCAACAACATGAGCTAAGATCTTGGGGTGAAGTGGTTTAGAAAGGCCCAGAAACTCAAAGGAGGCTGATGTGGCTGCAGCGTAGGAGGT